GCATTCTGAATCATATGTAATAAAATAATGTACTAAATTGCTATACTTTCTTATTTTTCACCTGTTCCCTATAACTTACAATGAACTTAAAATCATAAATCCCTTGATAAAGAACCTTCATGGTAATATCCAGTACTTTATGCTGTCCATGTTTTCATGAAAGTAGAGGGATTTTTGGCTTTTGTGTTGTGGATATTTAAATTTTAAAATGGTATCTCCGTTAGCAAATTCTAGATTAGAAAGTGGAGAGTTTGTGGTTGCTTCATGGTTAGACTGACATAGGAGACCTGGTCACTCCTAAAATTAAAATTCACTCCTGAGATTTCTCCCTGTGATAGTTTTCAATGAAGCTAATGTAAAGATGAATGATACCTTGTCTTGAAAAAAAAATGAGTGACACCTTCTCATTCATGGGATTCAGGGTACGAACAATTAATCTGGTCATTATTAAGACATTCATGGTTTTTAAGTGCTATATCTGCCTATATCCAAAATGTTATGTTTTTCATAAATAAATCATTAGAAAATGGACTTGAAAGCTGTTTTCAGGATGAAACATAAGTTTCATAAATTCATTTCCATTTTCTCTGTGTCCCTAGCTTTGGGACTTTTTGACACTTTCTCTTTTGGAAATACATTTGTATTTTCTTATTTTTTCTCATAAGAATTTTTCTAAAAGGTATTTTTACTAAACCAGTTACATAAATAGAATATGTATCACTGAAACTTTAAGTCGTTTGACCCATGAACTAATAGAAATGCATGGAGGATACTAATTTTGATGCTAGGTGTATTTGAGTCTGATGATCTCAGTTAAACCAAAAGCAGTTAATAGCTTTAGTAGCAATGCTTTGTTTGACAACTATACTTGATATTCATGAGACCATGAAGGTTTAATTGTTATAATAAGCATATACTCACTTATATATTAAAAATAGAAGACCTGTATACTATGTACATATAAACATAAAATCGAGGTGGAGCGATAGCCCAGTGGGTAAGGCATTTGCCTTCACGTGGCTGACTTTGATTCGATTCCAAGGATCCCAAATGGTCACTCAAGCACTGTCAGAAGTAATTCCTTAGTGCAGAGCCAGGAGTAACCCCTGAGCATTGCTGGGTGTGACCTAAAAAGCAAAAAAACAAAGAAACAAAGAACACTAGCAAAAAATCTATTATTGTGTCTATTAACACAATCATTTTTGATGCTGTGGCAATCTATAGACGATAAAGTGCTTTAGTAATTTTCTGCATAACCAAAGGGAGAGTTTTCTCAGGTTTGTAAATAGCAGAGGATGGCAACCTCTACTAGTTAAGGGCATTTTACGGTAGGTAACATTTTACGTATTCTAATTATGGATAATGAATGAGAATCATTATCATAATAATTCTGTGATATGCACACATATGCTATCAATGAAAATATATTTCAGAAGATATTCTAAAAATTTGAAATAGACCTGTCTCGAGAATGTGCTAGATAAGGGTGAACAGCTCTTATCTTTTATTTTATTTTTAATTAAAACTTGATTTTTGGTTTTGGGATCACACTTGATGGTGCTCAGGGCTGAAACCTGGTTCTGGACTGAGTGACAATACATGACAGTGCTCCAGGATTATATGTAGCACCAGACAGAGGCAGGTTAGTCCAGTGCAAGGCAAGTGTCCTACCTGCTGCACTATCCCTTGGACACAAAATTTTTCTTTTACAAAATGAGTTTCCTCTAGGCAAGAGAGGATAAAAGGATATAACAAAGGCTGTTTATAGTCAATACTGCCAGAATAATGCTTCTTAATGGCATAATTGAATTTAAAATTTACTTCATAATGATAGAAATTTTTAATTATTTGTGTACTTAATAAAAATAATTAGTAAAGATTAACACATGTATATTTGTTGAAGTAAATGTCTATTAATAAAAGTTGGCATTTTTCATAGGTTTTGTGCTCTTTTAAAAACAAATAATTCATCTTAAGAGCTCTAGATAATTTATCTTTCCCAAAATTAGTGAGGTAACTATGACTTTTAAAATAACTTGAATCAGGATGCATTTTTTCCCCCATTTTATTTGTAGATAAGTTATACATTTATCACAGATGTCAAAAAAATTGGTTCTTTTTCAACTCTAATTCAATGCTTAACACAACTAATGAATAATTTTTCCTAAAAACTGAAAAATCAGATGTGAATTCTGGATATCTTTTTAAAAATAATTTATTGAGGTAATATGGGTTACAATAGTGTCTATATTATTGTTTTCTTCTGATAATGCTACTTCAAACATTCTGCCACCAAAGTGTAAATAACCCCCCACCATCCCATCTTCTCAACCCTTAAGGAAAAAGTTGAGAGGAGAAAATTCATATATTAAAACCCTCAACAATATGCAAGTTTAATAAACCTAACTCAATACTTAAAGACTATATTCAACAATTCCACAGGAACATTATACTTCAGAGGGAAAACTTTAAGCTTTTTCTGTAATATGTGCATTTTCACCACCTCTACCTAAGATTTTTTTGATTCTTAGCCACAACAAGAAGGCAAGGAAATGAACTAAAAGAAATTCTACAGACTTCAAATTATTACTACCCACAAATGATGTGATATTTTACATTACGAACTAAAATGGTCATCAAAAAACTTGAAGTAAAAAAGTTGATAAAATAAATGTCAGACTACAAAATCAATATGAGAATATGTTGTATGCTTATAAGTAAATAAAAATATAGAAGAGAAGGAAATAAAAGAGTAATTATATATCAAAAACTCATGAATCTAAAAATTAATAGGGTCACTCTTTACAATCCACTAAAGAAATTTACTTCTAAATAATTAGAATTGACAATTGGCAAAAAATTACTTCTCAACATTTTCACGTAAGATTGTGATGCAATTTCAATATAATTTAAGAGCATGTGGCAGGAGCGATAGCACAGCGGGTAGGGCGTTCGCCTTATAAGTGGCCAACATGGCCGACCCGAGTTCGATTCCTCCGTCCCTCTCGGAGAGCCCGGCAAGCTACCGAGAGTATTCGATATGCCAGACACAGTAACAACAAAGTCTCCAATGGAGACGTTACTGGGCCCGCTCGAGCAAATCGACGATCAACGGGAGGGCCTTTACCTTTACCTTTACCTTTAAGAGCATGTGATCCAGACATTTGACCAGCTCTCCCCCACAACCTCATTTTTCTAATCTCTAACATTGCATCTCATAAATGTAGAGAATGAATGATAATTTATCCTAATAATAAAATTTTTGGTTGGTGTATGTGTTATTGAAAAGGTCTGATGTGTGCATTTTGTTCGTTTGCAGATACTATATGCCTGCTCTGGTAGCTTAGAGCTTCTCCGTGGAATTCATGAAAAACCAAAGTTTTGTAACTGAATTTGTCCTCCTGGGACTCTCACAGAATCCAGACATTCAGAAAATAATATTTGTTATAGTTCTGGTTGTCTACATTGCAACTGTTGGTGGCAACCTGCTGATAGTAGTGACCATCCTGAGCAGTCCAACACTCGTGGGCTCCCCTATGTACTTCTTCCTGGCTTTTCTATCCTTCCTGGATGTGTGCCTCTCCTCTGTCACTGCGCCAAAAATGATTGTTGACCTTCTTGATGAAAAGAAAACCATCTCCTTTGGAGGCTGTATGACACAGGTCTTTGCTGGACACTTCTTTGGTGGGGCAGAGATGATCGTCCTCACAGCCATGGCCTATGACAGGTATGTGGCCATCTGTAAGCCTTTACACTATTCTTCCATCATGACCTCAAGGCTCTGTAGCATTTTGATTGGAGTAGCCTGGACTGGGGGACTTCTTCATTCCATCATCCAAATTGCCTTTACTTCTCAGCTGCCCTTCTGTGGTCTCAATATCATTGATCATTTTGCATGTGACTTGTTCCCATTACTGAAGCTTGCCTGCACTGATACTTATGTCTTTGGCCTTTTGGTTGTGGCCAACAGTGGATTCATCTGCATCCTAATCTTTTCCATGTTGCTTGTGTCTTATGGGGTCATTCTGTTCTCTCTGAGAAGTCACAGTACTGAAGGACAGAGGAAAGCCCTCTCCACCTGTGGATCTCACATTGCTGTTGTGGTTATGTTGTTTGTCCCATGTATATTTGAGTATGCACGACCTCCAACTGCTTTCTACTTTGATAAAATGGTGGAGATATTCTACACCATGCTAACTCCTCTGCTCAATCCTTTAATTTATACTTTCAGGAATAAAGAGATGAAGAATGCCATCACCAAATTGTGGAAACAATTAATAACTATTTATGATAAAAAATAAATCATTATGCACAGAAAATACAATTTCTTGTAAAAACTTTAAAATTCTCTTGATGTAATATTATGTAGCTGTACAATTTGATTGAACGTGAGGCTATAAACAACATAAATTATAAGAGTTTGTGAAAATATTTCACTGTCTTGAAAATCACCTTCGAATTCTTACTCACAAGTTAGAGTTGATGGGGCTGGAGCAATGCACAGCGGGTAGGGAATTTTCCTTGCATGTGGCCAACCTGGGTTCGATTCAAAGCAGCCCATATGGTCCCCTGAGCACCGACAGGAGTAATGTCTGAGTGCATGGACCAGGAATAATCCCTGTGCATCACCGGGTGTGACCCAAAAAGAAAAATAATCAATAGTGTTTAATTGCATCTATATTTAAAATTTAGCCATTAGAAAATCTTAACTGAAATACATTATCAGTGTTTGCCAACTGTGTTATATCACTTGATCTCTTCACTTCCCATTAATCGTCGATTTGCTCGAGCAGGTGCTAGTAACGTCTCCATTTGTCCATGTAATGTGCTGGTGTCGCCCAGTGGCGTCTGTTCATTCTAGGAACATGAAGAGCCTCAAACCGATTTTTCAGGATTTTGATGAAGAAGTGTGACCATCTGGTAGGTGGCCAGCCACGTAGTTTTTTTTGACCTCCCGTGGAATCCAGTCAGTAACGGCTCTAGTCCAGTGGTCCAGAACCATATATAAGTGCTGTAGTCGCCCTCAATGGTCTTTCTCGCAACGGGTTTGCCACCAGAACACAGGTGTTGTGAAAACCACAGCTAAGTGCCAGCTGAAATGGGAGAGGAAAAGACTCACATCAACATCGTCGTCATCGGACACGTAGACTCGGGCAAGTCCAACACCACTGGCCACCTGATCTACAAATGTGGCAGCATCAACAAGAGAACGATCGAGAAATTTGAGAAGGAGTCTGCCGAGATCGGAAAGGGCTGCTTCAAGTACGACTGGGTATTCGATAAACTGAAAGTGGAGCGTGAGTGTGGCATCACCATTGATACCTCGCTGTGGAAGTTCAAGACCAGCATGTACTACGTGACCATGATTGATACTCCAGGACACAGAGACTTTATATGTGTTATAATTATAAAGAATTTGTAATTGAAGTACGTTTATGGATTAGGAACAAAGTTTGTTCAATTTTTCTAAAGAGTAAATTTTTGTATTTAGAAATCTAAAAAGTTTCTTTAGTTTCAAAATTTTCTTTAGGCTATGTCCTGCAAAATATCTGATTGAACTGTACAAGATTTTAAATGTACATGGAGTGCATTTATACATTAAAGATTCTGCTAGTGTGATATTCACAAACCTTTTCTAAAATCAACATAAAATTCAATTTCTTCTTTGTGACATGTAAAATAATGTAGCTAATTTAGGCACTAGGACATTGACGTCAGCTTTGTAAAAGGTTTTAATAGAACCCTTTTTTGAAAAATTTGAACTACATAGTATTTCTGTAGAAACATGTAAAAAGAACTGTACTTGTTTCACCAGACTCTTGAAAACTTTATTTTTATTTGCCACAGTTTTTCTTTGATTTGAGCATGAATATCAATGCACTAGTATGTGTACAATATAGGCTGTATAGCACGTGCACTCCATAAAGCAAAAATAGCAATGAAAAAAAGAACATCATTTACTTTTAGCATAAGATATCATTTTGATTTTCTAAACTGTCAGCAGACTAAAGCTGAAGAGATAGTACAACAGGAAAGATACTTGTCTTCCATGCAATTGAATCCAGGTTTTATACTCACAATACCACATGGTCCCTGAGCTCTGAGAGAAGTAATCCCTGAGTTCTGAGCTTCTGAGTCCAGAAAAATTTCCTGAGCACAGCTGTGTATGGCCCCAAATAAAAAAAAATCCAACAAACTAAAATAAGAATCAAGAGTTTTAATATGGTAATCTCATGCTCTATTCTTTTCTTTTTTTTTTTTAATCACATCCAGACATGTTCCTTTCTCTGCTCTCAGGAATTAATCCTGGCAGTGTTTGGGGGAACATGTAGGATGCCAAGTTTTCAACCTGAGTCTTTGGAGTACAAGGCAATGTTCTACCCACTGTACCAGCGCTCTTCCTCTCTCTACTTTTAACTTCCTACTGCCAAACCTTCACAAAGACTTTGAGGGAGTAATGGCTGAATCCACCAAAATTCTGAAGAGGTGTTCATCGCAAATGAGACTGCTTATAGCCCAGCACTGATTTCCTGTACTTGTGGCCTTAAATTTTCACGTGATTATTAAATTAAAACATTGCATAATCTGGCTCATATGGTTTTATATTACCTTCCTATAAGTTCACCTCATAAGTTCTTGATTTAAAATCTATAAAGGTCTATTTTATGGAGGTCACGGTCATGGTCATGGTCCTCCCCTTGTTCATCGATTTTCTCGAGCGGGCCCAGTAACGTTTCCATCATGAGACTTGTTGTTACTGTGTTTGGCATATCGAATACATCACGGGGAGCTTGCCAGGCTCTGTCGTGCGGGTGAGATACTCTCGGTAGCTTGCCGGGCTCTCTGAGAGGGGCAGAGGAATCGAACTCAGGTCGGCCATGTTGTCTGCGTGCAAGGCAAATGCCTTACCACTGTGCTATTGCTCCAGCCCGTTTATGGAGGTAAACTCTGATTTTTCTAAAGTAATTTTTATCATTCCTCTTCTGACATTTTATATCAGTTTTACTCTACTGGGTCCAGACTGTCATCCAGAGCAAACGGTGACATTCTATGGTGCAGAGGATGTTTAAAATATTTTAAGTATATTATTTGGCATCTGGGCTGGAGTGATAGCACAGCAGTAGGGCTTTTGCCTTGCACGCAGCCAGCCTGGCCGAGCCGGGTTCGATTCCTCCGCCCCTCTGGGAGAGTCTGGCAAGCTACCTAGAGTATTCAATATGCCAAACACAGTAACAAGAAGTCTCACAATGGAGATGTTACTGGGCCCGCTCAAGCAAATCGATAAACAACGGGAGGACAGACAGACAGATTTGGCATCTAAGATACATTCTCAACCAATCAGAGGTGCTCCTACTGGGATTCGAGAATTTTATGCTTTGAAGAAATGGCACGGGCTGTGCCCTCCAGACAAATCCAGAATATTTAACCAGGCAGTCTATCTGGAGCATGGTGGCAGATGTTGAGATCTGAGTGTACTGCTGGGGCTTTTGTGGGGTGGAAACCTGTGTCATCCCCTTTTAAAATAAACCCTCAGCCAGGACAGGGTATTGAAAAATTTTGGCCCCTACTGATCTCTTTAAAGATTTAATTTTTAGTCTCTGAAACAGGACAGGTAGATGGGCTTACATGGCTTTGGGGTGAAATGTGGATATGGCTGCTGTAGATTCTGATAGTACAGGAGGTAGGAGATGGAATTTTGGGCATCTCAACTCCAAAAAGGCTCAGAGTTTTCAGCGAAAAAAAAAAATAAACCCAGTTTGGAGCTGGAGCCATAGCACAGGGGATAGGGCATTTGCCTTGCTCGCAGCTGATCTGGGTTCTTTTCCCAGCATCTCATATGGTCTCCTGAGCACTGCAAGGGGGTAATCCCTGCGTACCGAGCCAAAAGTGACCCCTGTGCATTGCCAAGTGTGACCCAAAAAGCAAAATAAGTCAATAAATAAATTACTAAATAACCCTGGTTCACTGAAAAATTTAGAGAAGATTCGAAGTTTATAATAATAGAACTTAAAATGGTGAATGTTGAATCAGAGCCTTCTGAATTTAAGAGAACCATAGGTTTATCATTTAACTAGATCACACTTCAACTAATTACATAAGCTTTTGGCTCAAAGTCAATTTTCAAAATTTGTATTATATTTACTACTGGATTGGCAAGCGAAATTATATCAATCTCTATAGAGCAGCATCTGTGAAATAAATCACACTCAATAAATATTTGTTATTGGAAACATATAGTTGGGGGAAGTGGCTGAAGGAAACTAATTTCATAATGAAATCCTTTTTCTTTTTTTAATTTTCAATTAAATATAAATTAGAAATGAAGCACATGCATCATTTTGTGTTAGTTCTCTGTTAGCACTCATTCTTTATAAAGCTCTCTTTAACCAGACAACTAAAAACTCTCTTTCCTCTCTAGTCTCTTAGACATCAGAGGATGTGTAAAGAATACTAAAGGAAGAACATTGTGACTCAAGTGTGTCTTACAATGTACAGAGTACAGCAGTAGGACTTAATATTTTAACACAAAATTCTATCAAATACCACAGGGAAGGAAACAAAGAGTGAAGTGGCTTGTAACAGTTTTTCAATGATAAAATTGCATTTGCATTTAGTCTCTTACATGCATATAATGTCAAATATAGCTCCATAATCATGCCTCAAGTTGATAAAATATATTTACATTCAGGAACTCTATGTTTTTTGTGTTAGTTGTTCATCTCCCCTGAAAGGAAATCAATTTGCAGAAAAACATAAAATAAAGCAAAGCATTAATCAGAGAAGGTAAAAATACAAATTTCTATTAAATCCTATTTTTATAAAGCTCAAAGTTGAAATATTTAGATAGACCAATGAGCTATGTTGCGGGTAATGAAGAGATCTGGAACTGAATAGACTATAACTCTACTTCATTGGCATTTTGAATCTTCATGGTCAATCTATTCATTTCCTAGGAATTTTTAACTTCTAGAACCCAAATTCCTGCTTTACTGTCATGTAAAATTCTTTGTGGGCTGGAAAGATAGTACTGTGTGTAAGTAGTTGCTTTGCATGTTGCCAAAATGTGTTTAATCCTCACCACCATATGTGATCCCAAAGTCTTGGCCCACAATCATCCTTGGGCACCACTAAATGTGGTATACACACACATGCACACACACACACACACACACACACACACACACACATATATATATAAAATATACGTATATGAATTTCTTTCTATCTTTCTATATGGTTATTATTTCAAACCTACAAGTGATAATTATATGCTTTGAAATTTCTGAGTTACAAAATGGTATGCTGAATAATATTATACCGTATTGAATAATATTGAATAATTAAAATGATTGTTAGAATGTGAAGAAATAGAGCCAATGGGAAATTAATCCATGCCAATTTTGGAAAGTGAGAGATGTAATTAGAAATATAAAAGTATATCCAGGAAACGCATTTTTATGACATATCAGTCACAGTTCTAGTACAGAAAAATATTTTATGATCAGTAAAAACACCATAACTTTCTGACAATCATTCTTTCTCTTATAAGAAGAATATTTGATATTTAAGCACTTATGTTTATAGATAATAGAAACTGTTAGTAAAATTCTGCCTATCTCAGGCAGAATCAGGCTTATTCTGCAAGTACAATATATTTCACCCATAAATATCCCATGTTTTCTTCTGATAGAATGCAAGCATCTTCAAAGAGAAATCTAGGAGATATTTTTAAAAAGGTGTAAAGAATGAAAAATAAAAATCCTAATTAGTCAGGTATATCAAAGTTGAGTAAGGTACCAAGCACTGAAAACATTATTGTTTGTAAATGTCCAAGATCTCAGGGGAATATGAGACATTCTATAGGTTTGTAATTGTGCAGGGAAACCTCTTAAATTACATTTAGCCAGGAAGTAAGTTGGATTTCTTTATCCACATTCACCCCAAATCACGTTGAGAGCAGTGCTGCACAAGCAATGGGAAACACTCTCTTCTGTTAGCCAGAGATGCTTTTAATTTTTCCCATAGAATTTACACTAGGATTTTGGAACAAACTTCAATTGTTCATCAGCGTCTGCATGGATATTTATCTACAGAGAGCATGAATTTGTCATCACCAGAATTTTCCAGAGATTGACACAGGGTGAGATCTATAATTTGAATTTTTGTCATTTCAGGAAAAATTAAAATTGTAATATAACACTTAAAACTATCAGTGTTGTTTTCATGTTTCTGAATTGACCAGAAATACAGGCCTGTTATTTAATTGTGTGCGTGAGAACTAGTCATAAACTTTTCTGAGGCTATATTGTATTTAAAAATTTTATATTATACTTACAAAACCTGAGACTTTGAAAACAGAAGTGAAATAACATATCTATGTCAAAAGAACAGCACTTGTGCTATCATAAACAGTGATTAGTA